AGAACCACAGAGGGGATTCGCCAAATTGTGCCCAAATCTGAGTGACTCCAAAAACTATACAAGTAAAAGTTAGAACCCCAAAAAGTTCCCCTAAAGCTAAAAAATCTGGAAAGATTTCAGCTGCTATCCATCATTGGGAAGGCATAAGTTTTTCAGCCAAGTTAAATACCTGCTAAAATTAAAAAAACCACCACCTTTCAGAGGAACATAATAAAATCCAATGTCGCTGTAACATAACATTTACAATGTCCAGAATGCAATCCACAATTACTAAATAGGAAATCTTGGCAAAGAAATAGAAACAATTAAAAGAGCCAAACGAAAAATCTAAAATTGTAAATGACAATATCTAATGTAAAAAAATTTCACTAAATGTGCTTGACAGAAGAGCCAGTGGCCTTGAAGATATATCAATAAATATTACCCAATCTGAAGAGAGAAAAATATTTTTAAAAAGAAAATTCTTAGTAACCTATAGTATAATATCAAATGTTCTCACATACATACATATGAAATCCCAGAAAAAAGAGATAACAGAGAGGAAAATTATATTAGAAGATCATTAAAAGGACTAGAAATGGTAAGTAACTGAGTAAGCATAAAAGTCTGATTCTTCCCTTTAACTTCTTTTAATTCCTCTTAATTTCTTTAAGATATACAAGACAGTTTAAAATAAAAATTACAGCATTGTATCATGGGATTTACGACAATCTTTAACATAAGTAGATGGATAGAAGTTAAATGCAGCATCTATACAAGATCCTACAGCTTAGTGGAAAGATACAATATTATTAAAGAGACTGAAAAATGTGAAAGATATATACTGCAATCCCATGAACACCACTAAAAAATAATACAGAGATACAGCCCAAAAAGCTAATATATACAGTAGAATGGAATCCATATATTCAAATAATATTTGAAAGAAGGCAACAAAATCAGAAAGACAAACATGATGACACAAAGTAAAACTAAATATTAAAATGAGGGCTCTAAACACATTAACAGTAATAAATAACACTACTGGGTTAACTGACAAAATTGGAATAAAAATGGTAGATTAAATAAAAGTATTAAAGTTAAATTTACTGAAACTAATAACTATGCTGTTGTTATGTAAAAAAAACAAATTTTTCTTATGAAATACACACTTAAGTATTTGGAGGTAAAGGATAATAAGGTATGCAACTTACCCTGATAAGCATCAGAAAAAAATTGGTGTGTGTGTGTATGTGTGTACACAATTATACATACAAAATGATAAACCCACTGGTATAAAATATTAACAAGAGGTAAATACAGAAGAAACCAGACCTGAATCTAAGTCATGAAACCATAAAACTCTTAGAAAAAAACATAGGCAAAAATCTCTTGAATATAAACATGAGCAACTTTTTCCTGAACACTTCTCCTTGGGCATGGGAAACAAAAGCAAAAATGAGTAAGTGGGACTACATCAAACTAAAAAGCTTCTGCATAGTAAAGAACACCATCAGAACATATATTCGTAAATGACTCATCTGATAAGGGGTTAACATCCACAATATATAAGGAACTCAACATCCAGAGAACAAATAAATACAATATGGGTGGAGGACCTGAATAGACACTAGAAGAAGTGAACAGACCAAAGAAGAAATACAAATGACCAACAGGCACATGAAAGGATGCTCCACATGGCTAATCATCAGGGTATCGCAAATCAAAACCACAATGAGATATCACCTCACACCAGTCAGGATGGACAACATTGAAAAGACAAGAAACAACAAATGCTGGTGAGGATGCAGAGAAAGGGGACCCTTACTTTCCTGTTGGTGGAATGTAAATTAGTTCAACTGTTGTGGAAAGCAATATGGAGGTTCCTCAAAACACTAAAAATAGAAATACCATTTGACCCCAGAATTCCACTTCTTGGAATTTACCCAAAGAAAACAAGATCCCAGATTCAAAAAGACATATGCACCCCTATGTTTATCACAGCACTATTTACAATAGCAAAGATATGGAAGCAACGTAAGTGTCTATGAATAGATGAATGGCTAAAGAAGATGTAGTGTATATATACACAATGGAATATTATTCAGACAAAAAGAAAAGAAATCTTACCATTTGCAAAAAATATGGATGGACCTAGAGGGTATTATGCTCAGTGAAATAAGCCAGGTAGAGAAAGACAAATACTCTGTGATTTCACTTATTTGTAGAACATAAAAACAAAGCAAAACAGAAGTAACGGAAGATCATTAGACTTATACACACTGAGAGGTGACTTTTGGTTACCAAAGGGGAGGGGGTGGGAAAGGTGAATGGAGCGGGAAAAGGGGATTAAGGGACACTATAATTCACAGTCACAATATAGGTAGGTTATTGGGAAGGCAGTACAGCACGGAGAAGACAAGTAATGACTATAGCATCTTACTATGCTGATAGACAGTGACTACAATGGGGGGGTGAGGACTTGATACTATGGGTCAATGTTGAAACCACAATGTTGCTCATGTGAAACCTTCATAAGATTTTATATCAATGATACTTTAATTAAAAAAAATACACTGGCTGTTACTATCAAAAAGTGCATGCATGTGGACCTCAGAGAGAGCATGAGGAACCTCAGAAAGAGTAATTTGTAGAAATGAAAACAACTGTTTCTAGAAAATGAGATTAGCAATGTATCATCCTGCAAAATAGTGAGAGGTGTAGATGAGATAAAAGTTAACCATTTGTTAATCTAGGTGAAAAATAAAGGTGTTCATTATATTATACTTTTAATTTTTGTCAGTTTTGAAATTTTTAAAGAAAAAATATCACAAGAGAAATATGTGGCAGCATAACAAACTGAAACTACATAAGCACAAAATAATTAACATACAAAAAAACAAAAGTACCCAGAGTGGTTAAGATGGCTGTTATTTCATGTGAATCTTCCATATCTATGAGTATGAATTTTCAAAAAAACTGTATTTTCAGCAAAAACGGAATTGTACTAGACATGTACACTTCCCTTTTTACATTTTAGCATAGTTACCATAATTGTCAGTAAATATTCATCTGTATTCTGAAAAAATGAGGTTGCCACAGCATAATAATTAAGACAAAAGAATTAGATAAACGTCATGCCAAGATCTGGATGTTCACATTCCACATATTATCAAACACCTATTTTATGCACTTATTTTACTACAAGGTCTCAGTTATCTCTTTCCAACTAATCATCCACCATGGTGTCAATTTTTCCCTAAACAACAATAAAGCACCACCAATGGACTGACTAGAAAAAAATAACTTCAAGAGTAACAAATACCTATATCTTATCTTTTGTATATGACAATAAAAATCATCACGACTTACATAGCCAAGTTGCTAATTTTATTACATTTAAGAGGCTTGAAAGCAGACAATGGTAAGAAAATTCATACTAAGCACTTCCTATTTGCCAGGCACTTATTGTATTAACTCATGTATGTGTGGGGAGAAAGAGTTGATACTGACAATGTTCTGAATAAGTAAATGATTTTGTAATTAAATACAGACACATCTCATTTTATTGCACTTTGCTTTACTGCTTTTCACAGATATTGAGATTTTTACAGATTGGAAGGTTGTAGCGGACAGCATTTGCTCATTTTGTGTCTTTGTGTCACATCTTGGTCATTCTTGAAGTACTTCAAATTTTCATTATTTTAATATTAGTTATAATTTGTTATGGTAATAACCAAGATATGGAAGCAACCTAAGTGTCCATCAGTAGATGAATAGACAAAGAAGAGGTGGTACATATACACAATGGAATATTAATCAGCCATAAAGAAGAAACAAATCCTGCCATTTAGAACAACATGGATGGATCTAGAGGGTATTATGCTCAGTGAAATAAGTCATGCCAAGAAAGACAAACACATTATTTCACTTATTTGTGGAATATAAAAACAAAGCACAACAGAAGGAACAAAACAACATTAGACTCACAGACACTGAAATATGACTAGTGGTTACTAAGAGGGAGGGGAGTCGGTGAGGGTGGCGGGAATGGGGAGGGGGACTGTTGAACCATGTGATGTACATTTGATACAAAAAAAAGACATGGCACAAAAAAAGTTTGCTATGGTGATCTTTGATGTGAGCACTGTAATTGTTTTAAGGCACCAAACACCAGCCATGTGAGATGAAAAACTTAACTGATACATTGTGCATGTTTTAATTACTCCACTAACCAGCTTTTTTCCCATCTCTCACCCTCTCTTCGGGCCTCCAAATTCCAGGATGTAACAATATTGAAATTAGGCCAGTTGATAACCCCACGGTGACCTCTAAGTGTTCAAGGGAAAGGAAGAGTTACATATCTCTCGGTTTAAATCAAAAGCCAGAAATTATTAAGCTTAGTGAGGAAGGCACGTTGAAAGCTGAGATAGGCTGAAAGCTAGGCCTCTTGTGTCAAACAGTTAGCCAAGATGTAGATGCAAAGGAGAAGTTCTTGAAGGAAATTAAAAGTGCTACTCCAGTGAACACACAAATGATAAAAACAGGAAACAGCCTTATTGCTGACATGGAGAAAAGTTTTAGTGGTCTGGACAGAAGATCAAACCACCACAATATTCCTTTAAGCCTGATCCAGAGCAAGGTCCTAATTCTCTTCAGTTCCGTGAAGGAAGCTGCAGGAGAAAAGTTGGAAGCTAGCAGAGGTTGGATTATGAGGTTTAAGGAAAGAATCCATCTCCATAACATCAAGTGCAAGGTGAAGCAGCAGGTGCTGATGGAGAAGCTGCAGCAAGTTATCCAGAAGATCTCACTAAGCTACTTCATGAGGGTGCAACATAGTAGCAACAGGTTCTCAATGGAGATGAAACAGCCTTCCCTCTATGGGAAGAAGGTGCCACCCAGAACTTTCATTAGATTGTCCAGGATCTATGAGTTACTCCAAGTATCAGTAACAACAAAGTAAACACTTCCAATAAACTGACCAAACAAAATCAAATAATTTTCTTGTAGAATTTACATACCAGAAACAGCACTGTCCAACCCAGCATATATGTCCAAAGAACCTTCATCATTATTTTTAAGAGGAGAAGCTGCAAGAAAATCAAAGACTGGTTAAAACTGTTAGATGTGAAGTTTTTCCATTCCTACTCTGAAGGATCAGAGATTAGTCTTCCATCAAAAGACAACTGTTTAATAAATTTTTACACAACCTTATAAACAGGAAGATCTTAGCACACAGACTTATGACTCTGTTACTTCATATTTACACTTAAAAGGGAGAAGTTTCCAATTCCAGTAATAGCAGAGTAGTTTCTATCAGACCAATCCTCCTCCACATAACAACTATAAACTCTGAACAAAATACTGAAAGTCAGCTGCAATCAAATGCTCTACCACTAATCTTAATCTGGTGATCACTTTGCAACACATACCAATTTCAAATCATCACATTACAAACCTTGAAACTAATATAATGTTCTATGTAAATTATGCCTCATTCTTTTAAAAAAGATAACTGAAAAATTAGAGAGCAATCGACAGCAGGCAAAAACTGGAAGGGAGACAACATCTGAAACAATAAAATGACACTGAGTGAGTTCCCTATTCCCCTTTATTATAATCTTTTGTTGAAGGATAGGCTCCTAGCTGGAGCCATGACAGGCAGTGAAAACTCATACAAAAACCTCCAGTCTTAATAGCTTGAAGAACCAGAGAAAAAACTTTGGAGGTAATAATAGCAACTAGAAAATATGTGAAGAAATTCAGAGAACCACAGAGGGGATTCGCCAAATTGTGCCCAAATCTGAGTGACTCCAAAAACTATACAAGTAAAAGTTAGAACCCCAAAAAGTTCCCCTAAAGCTAAAAAATCTGGAAAGATTTCAGCTGCTATCCATCATTGGGAAGGCATAAGTTTTTCAGCCAAGTTAAATACCTGCTAAAATTAAAAAAACCACCACCTTTCAGAGGAACATAATAAAATCCAATGTCGCTGTAACATAACATTTACAATGTCCAGAATGCAATCCACAATTACTAAATAGGAAATCTTGGCAAAGAAATAGAAACAATTAAAAGAGCCAAACGAAAAATCTAAAATTGTAAATGACAATATCTAATGTAAAAAAATTTCACTAAATGTGCTTGACAGAAGAGCCAGTGGCCTTGAAGATATATCAATAAATATTACCCAATCTGAAGAGAGAAAAATATTTTTAAAAAGAAAATTCTTAGTAACCTATAGTATAATATCAAATGTTCTCACATACATACATATGAAATCCCAGAAAAAAGAGATAACAGAGAGGAAAATTATATTAGAAGATCATTAAAAGGACTAGAAATGGTAAGTAACTGAGTAAGCATAAAAGTCTGATTCTTCCCTTTAACTTCTTTTAATTCCTCTTAATTTCTTTAAGATATACAAGACAGTTTAAAATAAAAATTACAGCATTGTATCATGGGATTTACGACAATCTTTAACATAAGTAGATGGATAGAAGTTAAATGCAGCATCTATACAAGATCCTACAGCTTAGTGGAAAGATACAATATTATTAAAGAGACTGAAAAATGTGAAAGATATATACTGCAATCCCATGAACACCACTAAAAAATAATACAGAGATACAGCCCAAAAAGCTAATATATACAGTAGAATGGAATCCATATATTCAAATAATATTTGAAAGAAGGCAACAAAATCAGAAAGACAAACATGATGACACAAAGTAAAACTAAATATTAAAATGAGGGCTCTAAACACATTAACAGTAATAAATAACACTACTGGGTTAACTGACAAAATTGGAATAAAAATGGTAGATTAAATAAAAGTATTAAAGTTAAATTTACTGAAACTAATAACTATGCTGTTGTTATGTAAAAAAAACAAATTTTTCTTATGAAATACACACTTAAGTATTTGGAGGTAAAGGATAATAAGGTATGCAACTTACCCTGATAAGCATCAGAAAAAAATTGGTGTGTGTGTGTATGTGTGTACACAATTATACATACAAAATGATAAACCCACTGGTATAAAATATTAACAAGAGGTAAATACAGAAGAAACCAGACCTGAATCTAAGTCATGAAACCATAAAACTCTTAGAAAAAAACATAGGCAAAAATCTCTTGAATATAAACATGAGCAACTTTTTCCTGAACACTTCTCCTTGGGCATGGGAAACAAAAGCAAAAATGAGTAAGTGGGACTACATCAAACTAAAAAGCTTCTGCATAGTAAAGAACACCATCAGAACATATATTCGTAAATGACTCATCTGATAAGGGGTTAACATCCACAATATATAAGGAACTCAACATCCAGAGAACAAATAAATACAATATGGGTGGAGGACCTGAATAGACACTAGAAGAAGTGAACAGACCAAAGAAGAAATACAAATGACCAACAGGCACATGAAAGGATGCTCCACATGGCTAATCATCAGGGTATCGCAAATCAAAACCACAATGAGATATCACCTCACACCAGTCAGGATGGACAACATTGAAAAGACAAGAAACAACAAATGCTGGTGAGGATGCAGAGAAAGGGGACCCTTACTTTCCTGTTGGTGGAATGTAAATTAGTTCAACTGTTGTGGAAAGCAATATGGAGGTTCCTCAAAACACTAAAAATAGAAATACCATTTGACCCCAGAATTCCACTTCTTGGAATTTACCCAAAGAAAACAAGATCCCAGATTCAAAAAGACATATGCACCCCTATGTTTATCACAGCACTATTTACAATAGCAAAGATATGGAAGCAACGTAAGTGTCTATGAATAGATGAATGGCTAAAGAAGATGTAGTGTATATATACACAATGGAATATTATTCAGACAAAAAGAAAAGAAATCTTACCATTTGCAAAAAATATGGATGGACCTAGAGGGTATTATGCTCAGTGAAATAAGCCAGGTAGAGAAAGACAAATACTCTGTGATTTCACTTATTTGTAGAACATAAAAACAAAGCAAAACAGAAGTAACGGAAGATCATTAGACTTATACACACTGAGAGGTGACTTTTGGTTACCAAAGGGGAGGGGGTGGGAAAGGTGAATGGAGCGGGAAAAGGGGATTAAGGGACACTATAATTCACAGTCACAATATAGGTAGGTTATTGGGAAGGCAGTACAGCACGGAGAAGACAAGTAATGACTATAGCATCTTACTATGCTGATAGACAGTGACTACAATGGGGGGGTGAGGACTTGATACTATGGGTCAATGTTGAAACCACAATGTTGCTCATGTGAAACCTTCATAAGATTTTATATCAATGATACTTTAATTAAAAAAAATACACTGGCTGTTACTATCAAAAAGTGCATGCATGTGGACCTCAGAGAGAGCATGAGGAACCTCAGAAAGAGTAATTTGTAGAAATGAAAACAACTGTTTCTAGAAAATGAGATTAGCAATGTATCATCCTGCAAAATAGTGAGAGGTGTAGATGAGATAAAAGTTAACCATTTGTTAATCTAGGTGAAAAATAAAGGTGTTCATTATATTATACTTTTAATTTTTGTCAGTTTTGAAATTTTTAAAGAAAAAATATCACAAGAGAAATATGTGGCAGCATAACAAACTGAAACTACATAAGCACAAAATAATTAACATACAAAAAAACAAAAGTACCCAGAGTGGTTAAGATGGCTGTTATTTCATGTGAATCTTCCATATCTATGAGTATGAATTTTCAAAAAAACTGTATTTTCAGCAAAAACGGAATTGTACTAGACATGTACACTTCCCTTTTTACATTTTAGCATAGTTACCATAATTGTCAGTAAATATTCATCTGTATTCTGAAAAAATGAGGTTGCCACAGCATAATAATTAAGACAAAAGAATTAGATAAACGTCATGCCAAGATCTGGATGTTCACATTCCACATATTATCAAACACCTATTTTATGCACTTATTTTACTACAAGGTCTCAGTTATCTCTTTCCAACTAATCATCCACCATGGTGTCAATTTTTCCCTAAACAACAATAAAGCACCACCAATGGACTGACTAGAAAAAAATAACTTCAAGAGTAACAAATACCTATATCTTATCTTTTGTATATGACAATAAAAATCATCACGACTTACATAGCCAAGTTGCTAATTTTATTACATTTAAGAGGCTTGAAAGCAGACAATGGTAAGAAAATTCATACTAAGCACTTCCTATTTGCCAGGCACTTATTGTATTAACTCATGTATGTGTGGGGAGAAAGAGTTGATACTGACAATGTTCTGAATAAGTAAATGATTTTGTAATTAAATACAGACACATCTCATTTTATTGCACTTTGCTTTACTGCTTTTCACAGATATTGAGATTTTTACAGATTGGAAGGTTGTAGCGGACAGCATTTGCTCATTTTGTGTCTTTGTGTCACATCTTGGTCATTCTTGAAGTACTTCAAATTTTCATTATTTTAATATTAGTTATAATTTGTTATGGTAATAACCAAGATATGGAAGCAACCTAAGTGTCCATCAGTAGATGAATAGACAAAGAAGAGGTGGTACATATACACAATGGAATATTAATCAGCCATAAAGAAGAAACAAATCCTGCCATTTAGAACAACATGGATGGATCTAGAGGGTATTATGCTCAGTGAAATAAGTCATGCCAAGAAAGACAAACACATTATTTCACTTATTTGTGGAATATAAAAACAAAGCACAACAGAAGGAACAAAACAACATTAGACTCACAGACACTGAAATATGACTAGTGGTTACTAAGAGGGAGGGGAGTCGGTGAGGGTGGCGGGAATGGGGAGGGGGACTGTTGAACCATGTGATGTACATTTGATACAAAAAAAAGACATGGCACAAAAAAAGTTTGCTATGGTGATCTTTGATGTGAGCACTGTAATTGTTTTAAGGCACCAAACACCAGCCATGTGAGATGAAAAACTTAACTGATACATTGTGCATGTTTTAATTACTCCACTAACCAGCTTTTTTCCCATCTCTCACCCTCTCTTCGGGCCTCCAAATTCCAGGATGTAACAATATTGAAATTAGGCCAGTTGATAACCCCACGGTGACCTCTAAGTGTTCAAGGGAAAGGAAGAGTTACATATCTCTCGGTTTAAATCAAAAGCCAGAAATTATTAAGCTTAGTGAGGAAGGCACGTTGAAAGCTGAGATAGGCTGAAAGCTAGGCCTCTTGTGTCAAACAGTTAGCCAAGATGTAGATGCAAAGGAGAAGTTCTTGAAGGAAATTAAAAGTGCTACTCCAGTGAACACACAAATGATAAAAACAGGAAACAGCCTTATTGCTGACATGGAGAAAAGTTTTAGTGGTCTGGACAGAAGATCAAACCACCACAATATTCCTTTAAGCCTGATCCAGAGCAAGGTCCTAATTCTCTTCAGTTCCGTGAAGGAAGCTGCAGGAGAAAAGTTGGAAGCTAGCAGAGGTTGGATTATGAGGTTTAAGGAAAGAATCCATCTCCATAACATCAAGTGCAAGGTGAAGCAGCAGGTGCTGATGGAGAAGCTGCAGCAAGTTATCCAGAAGATCTCACTAAGCTACTTCATGAGGGTGCAACATAGTAGCAACAGGTTCTCAATGGAGATGAAACAGCCTTCCCTCTATGGGAAGAAGGTGCCACCCAGAACTTTCATAACTAGAGAGGAGAAGTCAATGCCTGGCTCCAAAGCTCCGAAGGACAGGCGGACTCCCTTGTCAGAAGCCAGTGCAGTTGGTGACTTGAAGTTGAAGCCAATGCTCACTGGGCACTGAGGTCAAAGTATCAACATTACAGGAGTTTGGAAGAAGTGGATTCCAATCCTCATGGATGACTTAGAAGGGTTCCAGACATCCTTGAGAAGTAGCTGCAGGTGTGGTGGAAATAGCAAGAGAACTAGAGTGAGAAGTGGAGCCTGAAAAGGAGACTGAATTGCTGCAACCCCATGACACAACTTGAACTTGATGAAGAGTTGCCTCTTAGGGAAGAGCAAACAGAGTGGTCTTCTGAGATGGAATCTACTCCTGGTGAAGATATGTGAAGATTGTTGAAATGACAACAAAGGCTTTAGAATATTAAATAAACTTAGGTGATAAAACAGTGGCAGGGTTTGAGAGGATTGGCTCCAGTTTTGAAGAAAGTTCTACTGTGGGTAAGATGCTACCACACAGCATCACATGCTACAGAGAACTCAATAGTGAAAAGAAGAGTCAGATGATGAGACAAAACTTCATTACTGTCTTATTTTAAGAAATTCCTACAGCCACCCCAGCCTTCAGCAACCACCATCCTTATCAGTTAGCAGCCATCAACACTGAAGCAAGACCCTCATCAGCAAAAAGATTACAACTTGCTTAAAGTTCACATGATGGTTATTAATTTTTAGCAATAAAGTACTTTTAAAGAAGGCATATATTATTTTCTTAGACATGTTATTGAACACTTAATAGATTACGGCATAGTGTAAACATAACTTTTATATGCACTGGAAAACAAAAAAAATCATTTGACTCACTTTACTGCAATATTTGCTTTTTTGAAGAGGTCTAGAACCAGATGCACAGTATTTCCAAGGTATGCCTTAGATAAACTTAAAAAGTCAATTAAAATGAGCTCTTACCAGAAAAGACATCAAATAAGCTTGTTCCATCACCATTATCATCATCTGTTGCCATGATCCTATTTCCTTTTGATAGTTGCCATCTAAAGTATTAAATACAAAGATTTTCTACTGTTAAAATCAACCTCACAATTCAGAAAACAAACCTAGCTTTAAGTTAAAAATCAACCTTCAAATTTGGACATACTGACATATCTAACATTTCCAAAAGCTTAAACTTGCTGATATGGTTAAGCCATGTCATAAAGTAAATGACGCTGATTTTGTAAAACAGACCAAACACACTAACTTTTATACTAAAATAAGCCAACTATCATACTAAAATAGTTACATGGTGAGTTCTGTAAATCTTCTTAGCAAATCATCAAACCTGGGGAGGTCTTCGAAACTCTAGACATACATGTTTTCACCAGTAAGAGAGCAAGACAGACTGATAGTAAAGAATCTGATACTACACTAGATTGATAAAGGTGTGGGAAAAGAGGTACTCTTATACATCAGTTAAGTGTGTACTGCTACAAGCTCTATGGAGCAATCTGGCAATAGCTATAAAGTTTTTAAATGTAAATACTCCTTGACCCAACAATTTCATATCTAGTAATCTGTTCTACAGATACACAAGCACATGGTTACAGAAATGTAGGTAAAGGAATGCTGATGGACACTGACTGTAATGGAGTTTGTGGGGGGACTTGGTGAAGGGGGGAGCCTAGTAAACATAATGTTCCTCATGTAATTGTAGATACCGAAAAAAAAAATGTAGGAGAAGTAATATTCAATGCAGTGCTGTTTCTAGTGGCAAGGCTGGAAGCAACACAATAAAAAATGGTGCCTTGCAGAAACCTAGTACTAGAGAAACCATGTCTGTTGCAGGAACTGAATGCTGGACAAAGCATACTGGCTTCCATATCTTGGCTATTGTAAATAGTGCTGGTGACTTGAAGTTGAAGCCAATGCTCACTGGGCACTGAGGTCAAAGTATCAACAGCCTGGCTAGCCAAGCACACTGAAACTTCCTCTCCAGTGCCCCTCAGCACTCTCTACTAACAAGGCTTAGCCCTGTGCCTGTTAGCAAAGGAAAAATCTTTAAGCCACCTCCATTATCACACAAGGATCGATTTAGAATTGAGAGGGTAGGTTTCATGGAGAAGGCAGCCTCTCCAACTCTTGGATCCCACCACACGTGACAGCCAACAGTATTCAGGAGCTTCCCAATGCACCTCCTCTCCCATACTAAAAACAATGTCACCAGCAAGGCACTTAGCAACTTCTCCACCACTCAGGGAGCCCCAGCCATGCTCTTTCCAATGATGGGCAAGCCAGCTCTTCTGTGGAAGACCTATACCAACCCTAGAGGGAGTGGTTGCTCCCTGTACCTGCTATTCCTATGTTCTTTAAAGGCATCTTTAACTCTTACATATAATTCTCAGTTACCTCAAACTTTTGTTAATAATTCTTTAGCCTGAGCTTTCTTTTCTCAATGTACTGTGTGGTTTTTGTCTTCTAATTGGGTCCTGCCCTGTTTGATACAGGTAAACAGTAAAGAGATTTTAACACACATTCCTCTGATCAAGCAGTTAAGAAATTTAAAGATATATTGCTAAATATAAAATTGACAAGTTTGATCTGCTGATTTTATATCCTTGAATGCAACAATTAAGAGAACTTAATTACTTTCAGGCACATTTATAAAAACTGACTTTATAATAGAGCAAAGTTCAATAGGTATCATAGTCCTTTTATCAAAATGAGTGAAATTCGAAGATGTACTTTCAAATTTCCCAATTTCTTTGGAAATTTACAAACAGGCCAAAAAATAATATTAATGTAAACTGGGAAACATACAGAACTGAAGAACAAATACACCAAAGAACAAAATTTCTAAGATACAATAAAAATAGTACTTTTACAGGAAAAGTTATAGCATTAAATATATATATATAGGAAAAGATGAAAAAATATTAATGAGGTCATCATCCAATTCAAGTAGTTAGAAAAAGGTCCAATAAATGTTTATTGTAGTTTAAAAAAGCTAAAGAACAAACTAAGCCTAAAGAAAAAAGACATAAAGACCAGAAATGAGTAAAAAGAAATGCTAGAAAGATAAATAGCAATAAATGCTAGCTCTTTAAAAATTTAAATTAAGTAGGCTTATTCTTGGCAAAGCTACGCAAGAAAAAGAAAGCACAAACATTAGGAATAAAAAAGGAGTTACAGTTTCACATATAGCAGAGACTAAGTTATTAACAAAACACTAACAGAAGTTCAATGAAGGAAAACTAGAAAATATGGACATATTTAGGATGATTAGATTATTTGGTACAGTAGTAATCTACTCATAAACTACTAAGCCCAGACAGTTTACAGGTTTAGTACAGTGTAGACATCAAAAGTAGGCAAAGACAGGACAAAATAAGAAAATTACAAGACAGGAGAGGATGCGGAGAAAGGGGAACCCTCCTACACTGCTGGTGGGAATGTAAACTTTCGACCACTGTGGAAAGCAATATGGAGGTTCTTCAAAAAACTAAAAATGGAAATACCATTTGACCCAGGAATTCCACTCCTAGGAATTTACCCAAAGGAAACAAGTTCTCAGATTCAAAAAGCCATATGCACCCCTGTGTTTATCACAGCACTATTTACAATAGCCAAGATATGGAAGCAACCTAAGTGTCCCTCAGTAGATGAATGGATAAAGAAGATGTGGTACATATACACAATGGAATACTATTCAGCCATAAGAAACAAATCCTACCATTTGCAACAACACGGATGGAGCTAGAGGGTATTATGCTCAGTGAAGTAAGTCAGGCAGAGAAAGACAAATACCAAATGATTTCCCTCATTTGTAGAGTATAACAGCGAAGCAAAACTGAAGGAACAAAATAGTAGCAGACTCACAGACTCCAGGAAGGGACTGGTGGCTACCAAAGGGGAGGGGTGGGGGAAGGAGGGAGAACGGGATTGTGGGGTATCATAATTGGTGCACATGGTATGTGCGGGGTCAGACAGTGCAGCTCAGAGAAGACAAATAGGACTCTGTGGCATCTTACTACACTGATGGACACGGACTGCAATGGGGTATGGGAGGGACTTGATAATGAGGGTGAATGTAATAACCACATTGTTTTTCCTTTGAAACCTTCATAGGAGTGTATATCAATGATACCTTAATAAAATAAATAAATAAGTAAGTAAGTAAGTAAGTAAGTAAGTAAATAAATAAATAAATAAATAAATAAAAAGAAAATTACAAGACAGAAGAACCAGAGGTCAATCTTATGAACATAGAAAGAGCCTGTAAGTCTGGGGAGACAAAATATCTCTAAAAACCAAAATCAATCAAAGGGAGAAATAAAGTTTAAAATCCATTTATTGCTCACAAACTGCAGTCTGGGCCGTTTTTCTCCTCTGCTGTGGAACAAGCAAGCCAGCCAGCCCCCTCCCCCTAACCTCTCAGTTTAGACACACCCTCAGTTGCTCAAGTAATTACACATTGATATGGAGATGAACTTCTCTCTGCCCAGGAGGATATACAAATGCACTATAGCCAGGTGAGATACTCTGGAAATGTTACAATTTTACCCACAGAGCCTTAAAGAAAAAATTATCCAATTGCATCCAGCAAGACATTCAAAAAACAAAAAACAAAAAATATATACTACAGACAAGTAAGATTTGTCCCCAAAATGTAAGGATGGTAAAACATTAATTCAAAAATCAATTAATATAAGGACTGTCCTTTAGTTGATAAAGTTCCTTCCCACTGTAGTATAGGTTAACAGTTCTGATACTGCTATAGATACTGGAATTGAACAATTTAAGTAAATGGATGGCAGATGATGAAAGCCAGTTTTCTCACTATTGAAGTGGGAGGTTACAGAAAAGCAAGAGAACAGGCTAGAATTATACCTGAAGTGATGGATTAGAGTTGATGATATCAATGAAACCTCATACTTATCTAATATAGATACAGATCAGATACAGAAATATTTGTAGGTATGTGTACATGCATGGGTTAGTAGACACGTTTCTTTGTTCAGCTAAGAAGGCCTAAAAAACAATACCCCAGGGCAATAAGCACGCCTAATATTGACATCTGGGCTTCTAATACCATTCACCATTAAAATGGACCAGGGCTCCTTAAATAAATGACTGACTGACTAGGGCAGAAAATACACAAGATGAACATGGACATGGTGTGCATAGTGACTTCCTTCCAAAGAGTAGAGTGTGGAATGGGGGAGGGAATGGTGACTTCACTGTTCACAAACCTACAAACACTACTGTGGTCAGATGATCAGGTCAGTGTCAACAGCCATAAGTCACACTGACAGTATGTGTACTCTTGGTGTGATGTGATGAAAATGGCACTGCACTTGTATCTTCACCAGACCCCATAACCTCCGTATAATTGTGAAGTAAACATTAGGCAAATTCTGATAGATGGGTATGCCAGAATACAGCTGCCTGGTACTCCTCACAACTATCAAGGACATCAAAAACAGGGAAGTGGAGAAACATCACAATTGACAGGAACTTAAGAAGACATGACAACTGAAGAAACATGGTTGGTGCCCTGAACAGAAAAAACATGGATATTTGGTAAAAATGAAGGAAATCTGAATCAACTATGGACTTAGTTAATAATAATGTATCAATGTTGGTTCATTAGTTATAAGAAATGTATTACACTAAGGTAATATACTGTAAAATATTAACAACAGGGAAAACTGGGAGGTGGGAATAGGGTGATAAATTGGAATTCTCTGTACATTTCAATTTTCTGTAAATCTAAAACTTCTAAGTCTATTAATAAAAATTTTTTTTTATTCTATTACATCAGAGAAGAAAAATATGATCATATCAACATTTGCACAGGAAGAGCATATGACCAATTCAACACTAACTCTTAGCTAACTTGGGGAGTTTATGGAAGTTTAAGAAGGGAGTTCCCTAAAACTGATAAAATTTCTACTAAAAAAAAAACCTCACATTAAACATTATACATGATTGTGAAACCACAAAAGCATCAAGCATCAAAAAAATTTTTTATTTTATTATTTTGATATCATTAATG